AAGTTAGTACCTGATTAAGGAGTAATTAATACAGAAATTAAAGTAATAAGGTCTCTCTAGGTGAGAGTATTTAATGTAGGTAATCTGCTTTGCTAGCGAGATCAGCCGGTTATTAGTGTGTTCCGTAAATTATTCGGTCCCCTGATTAATGAGAATTAATCGAGTATTTATAGCCTTGGGAAGCGTGCAACTCTCTAGGTTTAAGGTAAACCTAGGGCCGATCGGGCTTCTAGACTGAAATGGGCCTTGATGGCCGGTTGTCCCATTTGGCATGGGTGGACACGTGGCGTGTCTTAAGTGGTCCGTGGAGGACGCGTGGCGGAACCTGGTTGGTCCACTTGTCAAACGGCGCTTGGTGGATAAAAATCCCCTAATCAGGTAATGCTGCTGAGTGGATTGTTGACACTGGAGCAACCAGGCACATCTGCGTCAACAAGGACATGTTCACCACCTATGACAAGGTTGAAGGTGAAAATGTCTTCATGGGCAACTCAGCCTCCGCCTCTATCCAAGGCAAAGGGAAGATCGTTCTCACTCTTACTTCTGGAAAATTGCTTACTCTCACTAATGTTTTGCATGTTCCAGAGATGCGCAGGAATTTAATTCTGGCAGTTTACTGATGAAGGCTGGACTAAAGCTCTCCTTTGATTCTGATAGAATAGTTCTTACTCGCAATGGGGAATTTGTGGGGAAGGGTTTTTGTAATGGGGAGCTTTTTACTCTTGATGTTAAAGTTAACACTATGAATAAGAATGCTAGTACTGCTTCCGCTTATATTGCTGAGTCTATTTATTTATGGCATGCTAGATTAGGTCACGTTAACATTAATTCGATTAAAAGGCTTAAACACTTAAATTTGATTCCACGTTTTTCTAACACTGATTTTTCGAAATGTCAAATTTGTGTTGAAGCCAAATTCACAAAGAAGCCATTTAAATCAGTAGATAGACAGAATGAAGTACTAGAACTTGTTCATAGTACTTGGGTTATTTTAATAATCACGAGAGAAGAGGGGGTAAGAAGTATTACATTACCTTTGTTGATGATTGTTCATGTTTTTGCATGGTTTATCTTCTCAGGTCTAAGGACAAAGCTGAGGAAATGTTCCTTAAATATAAAGCTGAGGTGGAAAACCAATTGAACAAGAAGATTAAGAGAGTTAGGAGTGACAGGGGTGGTGAGTACAGCCCTGACACTCTTAAGGCATTTTGTGAGCAACTCGGCATTGTACATGAGACGACAGCTCCCTATTCACCCGAACAGAACGGTATAGCTGAAAGGAAAAATAGAACTTTAAAGAATATGATGAATTCTATGCTTATTAGTTCTGGGCTTCCTAACAATATGTGGGGGGGAGGCTATTCTTTCTGCTTGTCATGTTTTGAACAGGGTTCCTCATAAGAAACTTGACAAGACTCCATACGAGATATGGAGAGGTCGAGTGCCGAACCTGAAATACTTGAAAGTGTAGGGGTGCCTAGCGAAATTAGGCATACCTAGTTTCAAGAGGGACAAGATTGGTCCTAAAACGGTTGATTCTATTTTTGTTGGTTATGCTTATCAAAGTGCAGCTTATCGTTTCCTTGTTAAAGGTACTAACAACTCATATGCAGGTGGCCATATCATTGAGGCAAGAGATGCAGAATTCTTTGAGAACATTTTTCCTTGGAAAATGTCTCCCCCTTATGATAGTGAATTACCTGCTAGTAGTTCTGTTATTTTACCTATTGCTAATTCTCCTATTACTAATGATAATTCTGTTTTAGAGTCGAGGAGAAGCAAAAGGGCACGAAAGGACAACAGTTTTGGTCCTGATTTTATTACTTCCTTTTTATCTGAATCTTCCTTAATTGATGATGATTTTGTGCATATTTTTGTTTTTCAAGATGATCCAAGAACCTATGATGAGGCAATGAGGTCAGTTGATGCTGTTTTTTGGAAAGAAGCAATCGATAGTGAATTGCAATAAATTCTCAATAATAACACTTGGGAATTGGTTGAACTTCCTAGAGGTTGTAAGCCATTACTTGTAAATGGATTTTTAGGAAAAAACTGAAAGTCGATGGATCCATAGACAAGTATAAGGCAAGGATAGTAGTGAGGGGTTTTACTCAAAAGTTTGGAATTGATTATTTTGATACTTACTCCCCTGTCACTAAAATTGCAACCATTAGGACTTTAGTTGCTCTTTCTTGCATTTTTGATCTTGTTGTTCATCAAATAGATGTCAAAACTGCTTTTTTAAATGGTGACTTGGATGAGGAAATTTACATGGTCCAACCTGAAGGGTTCGTTGTTCTGGGCCAAGAGAACAAGGTTTGTAAATTAGTCAAGTCATTGTATGGGCTTAAGCAAGCTCCAAAGCAATGGCATGAAAAATTCGATAAGACTATGACTGGTAATGGTTTTCATGTTAATGAAGGTGATTCTTGTATTTATTCTAAGCATGATAGTCTTGGTTGTGTGATTATTTGTCTTTATGTGGATGATATGTTAATCTTTGGAACTGACCTGGATCGAGTAAATGAAACAAAACAGATTTTGAGTTCGAATTTTGAAATGAAAGACATGGGTGAGGCAGATGTGATTTTGGGAGTAAAAATCAAAAGGACTCCAAATGGCATCTGTCTTAATCAGTCACACTACGTTGAAAAACTTCTTAAAAAGTTTGACTTTTTTAATGTCGATCCAGTTAAGACTCCATATGACCCGAGCTTCCACCTAAAGAAAAATAATGGTGATCCAGTTGATCAGTCTGAATATGCTAGAATTATTGGTAGTGTTATGTTTCTTATGAACTACACTAGACCTAACATTGCTTATTCTATTAGTAGGTTGAGCAGGTACACTCATAACCCAAGCAGTGATCATTGGGTTGCTCTAAGGAGGTTGCTTAGGTACCTTAAGGGTACTATGGATTGGGGTTTGCATTACTCCAAATTTCCAGGAGTTTTGGATGGTTTTTGTGATGCCAACTGGGTATCCGATAATGATGAAGTTAACTCCAACAGTGGCTATATCTTCACCCTTGGGGGCGGAGCCGTATCCTGGAAATCTTGTAAGCAATCTTGTACTGCTATGTCTACTATGGAATCTGATTTTATTGCTCTTGAATTGGCAGGTCATGAGGCAGAATGGTTGAGAAACATGCTTGCTGATATTCCACTATGGGGGAAGCCAGCTCCTTCAGTTGCACTTCATTGTGATTCACAAGCTGCGATTGCTGTTGCACACAACCATGCCTATAATGGGAAGAAGAGACACATTCGTCTGAGGCATAAGGCTGTCAGAAATATGTTGTCTGAAGGGGTGATATCACTGGACTATGTTAAGTCCGAAAAGAACATTGCGGATCCGTTAACTAAAGGCCTATGTAGAAAACTATTTTTGGAAACATCGGAAGAGATGGGGCTAAAGCCCGTTGTATGAATTGTGAAATAGTGAACTCCTACTCACTATGAGTTCAAAGGGAAACATTATATAATAATTCGGAAGCACAAATTTTTATTTTTTGTCCATCTCTAGATGTTTGTTTTGTGCTTAGCTACAAATGAGAAAGAGATTGAGCTTATGGCTCTTAATGAACCCATATCCATATTTTTGGTGGTGTGTTGTAGCTCACACTTGATGGGATTCGCCTACTTAGGTGTGGAAGTGTGGCCGCTTCCTATGAGTATTTTGTGGGTTTATACTCTAGAGCACCTATGAGCATCCAGGCTTGAACGTATGGCCAGTATAATGCGTCACCTTTATTCGCGGAATTTCAGAATATTATACATGTTCAATTGTGTGGCTCAAAGTGATGGGTCCCTAACTCCCTATTGAGTTCAAGACGAAGGTCACTTGGTAGGTGAGGGATCATAGCTTGATGTCCACTATGTGTTAATTCAAGTCGCAAGACATTGACACTTATGCAATTGTTTTGTTTTGCCTAGAATTATTTCTTCTTCCTTTCTTTTTCATATCTTCGAACCTATGGGGGATTGTTGGAATTTCTTGGTATAAAAAATAATTAGAGTGTTGAGTGAAGGAAAGAAAACAAGAGAAAGTGAGAGTCATAAATGAAAAGGGAAATATCCCACATTGGTGGAGGGATAGGTTTTCTCCTTATTTTTATATTGTACTAGGTTTTCTCCTTATTTTTATATTGTACTATGTTAGTACTTCTTAATTGAGTGACTTGGAGGTGGGTGTTGTACCACACACATGCGCGGGCGCCGAGCCGAGCCGGGTCGGGTCGGTCTCGGGCTCAGGGCTCGAGCCTCGGGGAATGCGATGCGCGGGTGTGGGTCCTTTTATTTTTTGGAGGAATTTTATTTGACATAATGTTCCTTATTTATTTTAGCCGTTTTTTTACTGTTGGGAATCCCTTGATTACAGCTAAACCGTTACACTCATTGATTGTGGTTTTTGACTGGCCTGATGAATCTGGACAGTTTTTTGGCTACGTTCTGTCTCCAATTGTGGACAGTAACGGTCAGCCGTTTTGCTTGATTTTTGGCCTTAATCATATGGCTGTTTCTTCCTTTTTTCTTGCTAGTCGTTGTTGGCCATCTTCCTCCAGTCCCTCTTCAGCAAAAGACACAGAAAACATTCCTCTCTCTTCTCTCTTAAAAATAACTAAACACTGTTCTAATATTTCTAGGCAAGTATTCTAAATTCCAGTCAGGTTTGTGAGTGCACATAAACTCCGGCACCGTACTTATCCTGGAGGACGACCGCTTCTTGTCTACTGCACCGAGAGGTAGCGCGGAAGCGTCTTTTAGGTCAGTGGTTCTCCACGACACGGCTACTGTTTTCTGGTTCACGCTTCAAGAGATAAGTGTACTGTTTTATTGCTTTTAGTATCATATCAGTTAACACATACCTTGACGAGCAATTTGCCTTAGTTTTCATCTCTTTTGCTGACCTAAATATGATTTAAATTGTAGAATTTTTTAGGTGAGTTTAGTACTGAATTGGTGATTGAAATTATCAATAGATTTGTAAATTGTTTAAGATGAAGAAATCTAATTGTAAATTGGGGGAGGTACATTTTGGGAAGTAACTTGGGAGAAACTTCCATGGATGAATGAAAGATTGATGGTGATGATGATGATGAGGATGATGATGGCGCGCTTTTTTTTTTTTTTTGAGATAGCATTTATTTGAATGAATTGCAACAAAAATTGTATGGAGTAACTTATACTTGTTCCGTTTTTAAATACTTGTTCCGTTTATTGTTTTTTGCACTATTTATTTGTCCTAATATAAGATTATGGATGCTTGTTGGAATCGTCTCAATGAATAAATTATCAATTTTTAATTGTTAAAATTCATGCTTATTGATAATTAAAAATATTATTGATGATTAACATTGGCATACGTGTCCAAGAGAAATTGAGTAAGTAATTAGAAACGGAAGGAATACTTCGAGTAAACATAGGGCCATAGCCCAATACCTGGTATGGGATGTGTCAAGTCCATACCAGAATAAAAAATATTATTTGCTATTTTTTTTAAAGCTAAAAGAAATTAGAGTAGGTAAAAGTGATGGAAGGGGGTAAAAAATCATAACCCGCTAAAAAACACAGAAATCGCGAGAAAGGTTTTTTTGTGGTCGGAAAACCACTAAACCGTAAAGCTCGGTAGAAGAGATCCATAGCTCTGACTACCTCTGAACTTTGAAAAGAAGAAGCTCCGTGAAGATCTGTAGCTCTTCGTAGAGCTAAATTCCTCTTTATCAGGTAAATTGGTGTTTTGATTTTAGGGTTTATTTTATAATTGGAACAACTTTGAGTGAATTGGAAGGTTTTTGGAAGGTCGTATCAGTGGGTCTTGCATCAAAGTCATCAGAATCTGCTAGCTTAATTTTCCCTTTGAATATGGTGTTGGTTTAATCTAAATTACAGGAGATTGTTGAATGTTGTTAGTTTTTTAAATTATAGGAAATTGTCAAATGTGCGGTTAGTATTCTAAACTATAGGAAATTGTTGAATGTGTGGTTAGTTTTTAAATTATAGGAAATTGTTGAATGTGGTTGCTTTTTTTTTTTTTTTTTTTGGTTGAAAAAAAACTGTCATACTGTTATATGCAGCTGAATAAATTGTGATTTACACATCTTTATAAATTGTTATTTGCTGCTTATCTGAAATAAAGGATGTATATCTGCTTGCTTAAAGGAATGAAATAAAGTGAGTGCTGTGAAGTTCTGTTTCTGTTTTGTAGGAATGAAATAAAGGATGTATATTTTTGTTTTGTAGAATCTGGTTTCTTAACTTGCTTGCTTAATTTCTGAAGTAAAGAAGTGAACTAAATTGATGAACCTGTGTTATGTTCTGTTTTGCAGAAATGGAAGAAGCTTATACAAAAATGGTTGGATTGGAATTTTTTTTTTTTTTATATCTGATGCTGTAATTTTGTTTGCATATACTGTTATATGCAGCTTAATTAAATGTTATATATTGTTGCATACTATAATATGATGATGTTAAATTCTGATTTCTGATGAATTTCAATTTACTCTATATTATATTTAGAAACTTTAATAGGAACTAAAGTATATTCATAAGGTTAACAAGTATTGTAAATTCAAATGGGATTTTGTGGTTTTGGGTTAATAATGAAATGAAAATATTGGTACGTTATCTCATAAACAGACATAGTTAATTGATAAACAGATATCGTACTTAGAGAGTGATAGTAACTAACATAATCGTACCATTTCACGAGTACTTAATTTGAAGTTATTAAATCATTATCCTAGGGATTTGACTATTGTTTACAGTAAACATACCCTGGACACATGGACCACTAATGTGGTGACACGTGTCCCCCAAAACTAGAGTTCAAAGAGCTATGCAGGGTATGACACGTGTCACGCGCTCATAGCAAGGTGAAAGAGGCCTAAGGTACAATTCCCGAGAGCCATAAAAACCCCAAAACAACTACTATCTTTGTTTCATATTATTTGCAACTTTTGCTTAAAATGGATGCTACACATTATTTGCAATAAATGTTTTCTTTCCTTTTTAAGTTGTCATTTCTCTCTCTCTTTCTCCTCATCACATGCATTTTATTTCTCTCTTTATTTTACACTCACAAACAAATTTTGCCTAGGAGTTTGTGCGTCTTTCAAAGTTGCAAATAATATGAAACGAATGTAGTACAATAAGTCTTGTATAAGGCTATATAGTCATGCCTAGTTGTTAATCTATTTTCTAATCACTAAAGTTGTTATCAATGTAGTGATGTGTTGATAAACAATGAATTACTTTTTTTTTTTTGAGTAAAAGGTAGCAGGAGCATATTATTAATTACTTATTAACAATGTAGTAAGGTTTTGTTAATTTCAGATTACTAAAGTTGAAAATTTGTAATAACTAAAGTTGTTAATTTCAAATTTAATTATAACCGATAAATCGTTATGAACTATTTAGAAAATGGTTATTTATAAAGATGAACTGTTTTATTTGTTTAGATATTGTTATTTGTAAGCAAATAATGTTACGTATAAATATATGCGACCTATTGACCAGATTGGTAAATAAAAAAGACCCTAGCGAAGGTGACAATTATGGTAAAATAATAAATAAATAAACCCTAACTCCAAGCGACATTTTAGTAAAAAAAATTCTCAAGTGACATTTAGACCAAAATATCTAACATTTTCTGACAAAGTCTTCAAAATTCCTAAATTAATTCATTATTGTATTTTTTAAATCACAAATTCTTATATGTGGCTATCCACATGGTATAGCCACTTCACATAATCACATATAAGGTGATTAATAAAGTAACTAGTTATTGGCCCGGGCGATGCCCCGGGTCGTTATAAATATATTGCTTTAATCAAACTATATATAATTTGGCTTGTTTGTCACCTTAAGTGGTGAGGTTTTTTTTTACAGAAAAAAAAAGAAAAAAAGATGATAGCTTAAATAGTTTGTTGTTTGTATGAGCTGGTTTGACTATAAGAATAATTTTTTGCATTAATATAAATAGGGTAAATGATAAATCAATCCGTTGTAAATTAAAAAAATTGATGAATCAAATCTAACATACACACACACACACACATAAGATTAATTTTAGAGCGTCACATAGGAAAATATTATATTTTAGCCAATGAAAAAAAGAATTGCAATTTATTTTAGATCAAAAATTTAATATTAATTATAAAAATAAAATCAGCGCGTTTTTTATGTGACTAGCCATATCGTGTGGCCGGCTGAGACACACTTAAACATTGACCGAGTAACCCTAACCGTCCGAGTAAGTAAATCCTGACCCAATAATCCCGACCACACTGTGTGACCAGCCACATAAGAAACTTTGTAAAATAAAATATTATCTTTTTATATTACAAATTTTATCTAAATATGAGAAACAAAATTAATAATTTATTTTATAATAAAAAAATTCAAGTAGTAAGCAAGCAAATATCACAAAGTTTATTAGATAAATATATATTCAGTAAAAAAATTTATTTGAAAAAATACAAATAAATCATGCATCGCACGAGCTTCATCTAGTCTTTATAAATTTGATGTCAATATATATGCTACTACATAATGCACAAAAAAAAAAAACATTTACTCTATAATTACAATTGTATGAATTAATATATATAAATCAAAACTTTTACTCTATAATTACAATTTTATGAATTAATGCACACAAAAAATGGAGTAATGTTTAATTTCTTACAAATTTTATTATTGTTCAATTATTAAGGAGTTACATTCTAAGGTAAATTTAAATAGGGTGTTAATGCATATGAAGAGTTTTTCAATTAAACTAAACATTAATATATAGAGGTTAATGCATGGAATTTTTCAATCATTAAAGAGTTGGTATGATATGGCGTCACATTATATGCCAAATGGCAAAATTAGTGACACACGACAGAATAGCATGTCTTGCCATGAGCTTTAATAATATATATAGATATTGATAGGGGTCACGGTGAAGAGCAAATAGGGTTACCTTAGTTAAATGAGAAAAAGGGTTACTCTCTTAAATAAGTGGAATCATACTTTCATTTTTTAAAATAAAATAATAGGGGTTACTCGACTGACAAATGGAGTTACTTATTTCTAAATTACTTGATTTTACTCGTATAATGAATTTGGGTTACTTTTATCGACAAAATGGGGTTACTCTTATGATTAAATGAGGTTACTCATACATACAAATGAAGATTACTTTTATAAACCAATGTAGCCACACCGTGTAGCTAGCCACATACAAGACTTACCCTTTAAAATTCGTTTTTCCCATTTAAAAATTTGATTTAATAGGTTATGCCCTTTTATTTTAATAAATCCATATATTAAAATTACTTCCAACCCCTTTTTACAAATACTTTGTTAATTTAAGGGGTAGGAAAATTAAGTATAATAAATATTGTTAGATAGAGAAACTGTTATATGGAAAGATATTGTGTCATTTACAAAGAAATACTCCATCCGTCCCAAAATTACAGGCAAATATTTCATTTTGGGTATCCCAAAGGGTTCCTCCTATTACTATAAATAACACGCAATTATTACTTACTTTTTAGCTTTTCCATAAAAAAATCCACACATACCTAAAAAAACCATTACTTATTTTTTCTCCTTTTCATACAAAATACACGCATACCTACAAAATCATTACTTACTTATTAACATTCACATACAATATTCTCTACTTTATATTATCCTCATACTTCGTTCTTCACTTTTTATCTTTTTTCATACAATATTCCTCTACTTTTTCCATCCTCCTTAAAAACTGTACTTTTTAGAGATATTTACCTGTAATTATGGGATAGAGGGAGTACTATTATATAGATAGAAATAAAAATTAGCATTTATAAATAGATCTCTTTCTCATTTTTTATTAATTTTGCATAACATTGTTTGTTATAAATAGAAACTGCTATATAGAAAGATATACTGTCATTTACAAAACGATACAACTATATAGAAATACATACTGTCATTTGTAACATTAATTCTTAAATAGACACGGTTCACATTTCTTCTAAAAATAAAAAAACATGGTTCACATTAATTTATTGTGGACCACTATTAGAGACACTACGATCGTTTTAGCTATATATAAAAAAATGTCATTATGTTAAAATAAAGGTTATTATGTCATTGTGCTATTATAAAAGTCATAAGAGGTTAATTTTCTTTTAATGAGTTTTTTTTAATTCTGATCAATATGTATAATAAATGTTACTATGTTAAAATTAGAGTCACTATGTGTAATAAAAGTTACTACTTCCTCTGTTCTTTTTTACTTGACCTGTTTCTTTTATCAAGCTTGCCAATGCAAAACTTTAACGATCAATAACTTTAATTATCAATAAGTAAAAATTATAAAAGTTATATACTATGATATTACTTATTGAGACGAATTTAATAAGATCCCACATGAATATGTTTTTCCTTATATATTATTCACAAAAGATGGTCAAAGGAGAGGTGATGAATAGTGTAAAAGTCAAAGCGGGTCAAGTAAAAAAGAATGGAGGAAGTATGTTAAAATTAGGGTCACTATATTCAATTTAACATTAGTTGCGCGCGTATGAACCACGGGTCTACATTAATATTATTGTAAACCAGGTCCACCATCCACACAAGTGTTTTCCGATTTATAAAGAGATAAGCTTAATTAGAAATAGATCCTATCATTTATAAATAAATCTCTCTCTCTCTCTCTTTTTTTTTTTTTTTTATGAATTTTGCATATCATTGTTACTTATAAAGAGAAATTGTTATATAGAAAGATATAATGTCAGTTATAAAGAGAAACTGTTATATAGAAAGATATACAGTCATTTATAAAGAGATACTGTTACATAGAAAGGTATACCGTCATTTATAAAGAGATATTGTTATTTAGAAATAGATACTATCATTTATAGATAGATACTGTTGTAGATATTGGTTTAGTCATAACATTAGCTATGTTACGATAGTAAACGTGGCCGTAAGTCCCATAACTGTACCAACAAGGCCAAGTAACTGTACCAAAAAGGCCAACTAGGCACACAATTAATATACATATTTCTCATGTACAAAAACAATAACTACTTTGTTTTCTTCCTAGAATTAACAGCATGTTGGTGTTGAAAGTAGTTCCAAAACGTTAGTTCGAGCTTCGTTGTACCCGGACATCAAATCTTCCCACAATAGCCACAATAGCCTCTCCGGATTACGCTTAATCGCGGCCAACATATGGACACCTCCGTTTATTATTATTTGCAACAACCGTACCTTTCACGGAGGCCAAGGCAAAAGTTTTTAAGCATGATTATTAAAATATAAGGGCATGTCCTTAAACACTAATCCAATTAAAAAAAACAAAAGATTATCAAAACTACTAAAACCCAGAATCACCACCACCGAACCCACCGTAAACCACCACCACTAAACCCACTGTAAACCACCACCAGCGAACCGTACGTAAACCACCACGAATCAGATCTGAACCCCTACAACCACCCCACGAACCA